TAGGCGGGTTGAGTTGAGCCCAATACTGGTACTAATACTACTGCAAAGGGTTACTTATGCGCCTCGCTACTCTTCGCGATTAAAAAAAAAAAAAAAAAAAAAATCATTATACATGTTACATCTATGAATGTATTTAAGGAAATGGATCACCATAGACATTTGAAATGAAAGCTTAATTGAATATAATGTTACATTAAAAATATTAATGTATTAATAACCATTTATTAATTATTTAAACAAGAAAGCAATTAATTATGAAACGAAAACTTTCTCTATAAAATAAAAATATTCGTATGCAAAGCGCACTGCAGAATAAAAATTTTGGATATAAATAACAGCGCAATCAAATTTTCAAATAGCAGAATTATACTTCGTTTTCCACTAGCATTTGAAGTAGAAGGAATTTCCGCTAGTGCCCTGTTTTTTTTCTTTTTTTTTTTTTTTTTTTTTTTTTTTTTCCCCAAGATTTTTTACATTATGACTACGAAAGCTTGCCGTCTTCTTCTATTCATATTTTTTAATTATAGTATCTTGAGGAGGATGCCGAAGGGGACGAACACCTGGGAAACCAAGCTCAGAACCAAAATTGATTTGGTCTAAAAACTATTGTCTATATGAGCAAAATAAACACTGGTATGTTCAGCATCCATGAGATTATCATAAAGTTGAAAACTAGGCCAAAGAAAATTGCAGCATTAAATCATGATAACATCTAATATGAAACACTATATCGGTTTCGAGGCCGAACGACATAAATATACTATCCTGAAGAGAAGGAGGGACAATGGGGAGCATAATAAATTGAAATACTTAAACTTGGCCAATGACAAAATAATAACAGTTTCAATATCTAAGGAAATATATATATATATATTATATATATATATAAGAAGACAAATAAAAGGGGAATATTAATTCTAATTATCAAAATTTAAAACTTTGAGCAAAATGATTTGCAAATGTAGAGTGTTTTAGAGAAAGTCTGATCCACAAAATGAAGACTGTTTTTTTCCCTTTTCTAATAATTTTTGTCAAGTTAAATTGGAATAAAGATACTAATAATTTGTGATCAACAACTGAATTAATCTGATTTTTTATCTTTGTGGAAACTTGCAGCATTCTTTGTTAACGTGGTTTGATATCAACCAGAGAAAATGCGTTAAAATAGGCATCGAAGAACATGAATCTTATGTTAAACATAATAATAAATCATCAATGATAACCATTGATAATCACTGCTATTAGTATATTTTTAGCTCAGCAAAAATAGCCTTAAAACATCCCTCCAGCTAGGAGAATTAGATTTTTCCGAACTCTTGCATTTTCATAAAAAAAATTCCTAATTTTAGTTAATGATATAAAATAAAATCCAACCTTTTTTCTAAAATTTTCGAAATTCTGATATTTTAGTTTTTATTATTTTCCCACAGTATTTTGCAAAATGCTTATTCCACTATTCCCTCGGTCTACTAATTTTAGTGCTTTTTGTTACTTGGCTTTTCCCAAATATCTTTTTACATTATTGTACGAAGTAGAAGTTATTATCATGGTGAAAAATTTCAGGTATCATATATCAAAGAAAATATCCATTTTAATAGCTCTGGAAACTATTTGAACGATTTTTTTAATCTGTGTGTGCGGACAGAATGAAGGGCCTTTTTCCCAAGAGCGGATTTCAAAATGAATTTAAAATGAATTCAGATGAGCTATTTTTCGTGTTTTCTGTACATATCTATGTATGTATCTCGCATAACTCATAAATGAATAGCCTCAGAACGTTGAAATTTTGTCTATGGGATTGCTATAACATGTAACTGCGCACCTCGTTTCTTATTTGCAATCAGCCGCACGAAAAATACATAAATATATATACCATTTTGTTATCCGGCTCCGTGACCTCAGTTTTTTATTCTTACATGTTGGTAAAACGTGTATTTTTTGCTTTAATGGTGATTCAATTATGTTGTTCTTATGTTCCGGTTAAGGTGTTTATGCCTTTAGTTAACCTGCATGTAATATTTATAGAATTATCAAGAATTTAAAAGTTGTTTAAGTGCTGTAAGCCTAACGGGGGAGCCATTTGTTTACATTTCCTGAAATTGTTAGTAGAATAGTGAATTAAATCAGTTTCTGCACTATCTTTTCGCCGAGTCAGACCAAAAGTTAATATTCAATATTGTTCACCGAAAAATCTGCCTTCCTGCTCGCTGGGGGAATTACTTGTTTTTGTGTAGAAATTCTAATTTTAATTGTAATACTTTAAAACTGTTTTAACTGTATTTTTTGTTGGACATTTTTCTGTATTTTACAATTGTTAATGAAGATGTTTTGAGTTTTTATGTTTTCCTGCTTTACTGCGAAGTGAGAACTTTATTAAATGAATGCAGAATATATCTTTAACGAAATTCGGGGAAGTAAGTTCAAATGAAATGCAGCAAAAATTGTGTATAATTTAGAAAAACGTACAAGGGAGTGCAAGGAAGTTCACTTTTTCATTTCACCATTGGTATGTTTTTCAGTACACCGCTTAATTAGAGATATATATTTCTTCAAAGTCATTTGACGTCATTTTTGACTGAGTTATTGGATAGACATCAACGACTTATTCTGGCGGAAGCTCTTACTATCTGCAATTCACTACTCTATAAAAGCATAAATTTCTTTTTACGGGTAATGTGTAATTAGTTACATATGAAAAATACAAAACTGGATCTCACTGCGCGTTCTGTCTTTGTGAAAAGTCAGGTAACGCTTGATATTTTTGAATGCGTCAGAAGTCCAAAATTCGAAAATGCACTGCTGGTTACGTTGACGTACACAGTTACACTTTGATTTCTGATTATAAGGTATATCATGCAAAACCGCACAACACCTGTGCGTAAATAGTGTCCCTGGATGGTTTTGTATCTTTCATTTTCAATATAAGCCTTACAGTTCCAGGGTTTTCTTCGAGAACTAACCATGCGTTTGCATCTCAGTCTCAGATCGAACAACGTCCCTCACATTTCGTATATATAATTTGTCAAGTATTTATTTTTTCTTTCAGGAATTTGAAGCAATTTATTTACTTAGGTTCCCTGATTATTGGTTGACTTACGCGGAACGTAATATAATGGAACATGTTAGCTACTGTCTTAAATTATTGCGGCTAGAAAATAATGCAAACTGGTTTTGGAGTAGGAAAATTCTAAACAAATTTAACTACAGCTTCCCTCGTCCGTAGGTTTGTTACCAACTTTATTTATTAATAGGCATGAGTATGTTTTCCAAAGACTCCTTACTTCTGCTGACTTTAATTTGTTTTTGAGGAATTTTAAGTAATTACGTTACATAGTTAGGTCGAATGATCCTTCTTTTATACATTCTGAATGGCTGGCCTACGCGAAACATAGTTTAAAATTAAAAATGTTAGCCTCTGTCATAAAATATTGCCGCTAGAAAAGAATGCAAACTGGTTTTGGAAGAGAACAGTTCTAAACAATATTACCTTTTTTGTCCTTGTCCGTAGATCTGTTATCAGCTTCATTTATTAAAAAAACATGAGTGTGTTTTCTACACACTCCTTACTTAATGCTTTCTTTTATTCCATACCCGTGCAGTTTCTTCCAAACACCAGCTATTATTAACATCCACAGACTTTCAACAGCAATATCCATCACAGTGTCTCTTGCTTTGACTGGCTGGAAATATCTTCCCGGCTCTTTTAGATCATATATTTCCGAGATGATGTAATCTACTAAAACCTATTCAGTGACCTCCTTTGGTATCTAAAATTATAAGTACATTAGGTTTCTTTTCGAAACACTTTTATGAACTTCAGCTTTTCAGGTTGAAAAAATTCTGTTCTATCTTCATTTTAATGAAAACATTTCATTCTTTAGTGAATTATATAATCTCAATTTTTGGCGAAATTTCATGACATGTTTTATATTAAACGTAATTATTACTTTTACCCGCAGACAGTGATTATTAACTAAATATACATAAAATGTTGAATGAAAAATACTACAGAGAAGATAACTTTTACTACATTAGTCCCTATCACTCTTTTTAATATTATACACTAAGCGTTCTGTGTTTTTGCTGAATAAAAAGAAAATATAATCAAATGTTGCTTTATAAGTATTTTCTTTGCGTTGTTTTTATCCTCTATACACTATGTTAATTGTTTACTGTCTATGTTCAACACAGCAACCATTTGTAAAACAAAATAAAATTACTTATTTTCTACTTTTTACGTAATAACTCATTTGTTCAACTGTTTTTAAATGAGTAGCCATTAATAATGTGCTGTACTTATCACCTACTTTAAACGGAAAATTATGTATTTCTAGTTTCCTTTAAGCTTCTTTACACGATAGCTACGTATATTAGGTAAAATGCAGATTAAAATTATTTCTTGAAAATTATTTAATAGCATTTATGAATTATCAATACTAAAAAATTCACTTAAGGAAAAAATAAGACTGCTTAAGTTAGACTCCTATCTTCTCAGTCTGGAACAAGGCAAAAATTATAAATTTAAATGTATTCCTTTGTATTAATTATTATATATAATTATAATATTGTAATAGAATTACTATAAGATATTTTCAAACTAAATAGTAATATAATTGATATTCAAATAAATAGAGAAGTAATTAATTGATAACTGTCTGTTTTTCTAATTTCTTTTTTATTTAATTCGGGGGGGGGGGAATCGGATTTGGGGAGCAACAAAAAAGACTAAATGTCATTTCTCATTTGAATCCTTGGCCTGATTCCTTTGAAAGAGAAATTTTAATCATCTAATTGATTTCATAAGGACCCAAATAAAACATTGAGTTTGTTGATATTTTGAACTTTATTTAAAAGAGATCTTCATATAATCCATCTATTTCAAAAATCTTATAAAATGTACAAATGAGAAATAAGTAAAGCCATGTGTATATTAATATTTTATCAAGTATGAAATTTATTATTATAATTGTAATTACAACCGCAGTATTCTTTTTCAATAGTGCCTCCAGATATCATCGACACCGAATCTAGTTCCGATGTTCTTTCTCGAGAGGGTGCTGACGTAACAATGGTGTGTAGAGCTAAAGGTTACCCGGCACCGACTCTGACATGGAGAAGAGAAGACCATCAGCCTGTTGCAGCTGGAAACTGGCAAGCGAATAATTTACAAGGTGTGTAACCATTGTACCTTCATTACACCGTACGGAGATTTCATTCTAAAGGAATTTTGCTCGCAATTCGTCCCGATTTTGTCTCTAGGAAACGTAATAAATTCATGAAATATCCTATTGATTGCTGTTCCTGCGTTCTGAGTAATGCATGAGGAATTTGGATTTGAAATTTGAAGTGCAGGAGAATATTTTTAAGCGAAGGATATACGATATTAGAATTGAAATTCTGGTGAGTTTAGGTATAAAATGGATCGATCAAAATATTACGCATTCATGTAATATATTTACATACCATTTTTGAATGTGTAATCTGGAACTGTTGTTGCAGCATTTTACTAACCTATCACAACTCAATTTTAAGAGAACGTACAACGTATCAGTTCTGGAATGACTGAATTTGAGGAATACGAGTAGTGTGTAGCGGATTTCAATCCTACTTATGAAATATGATGTTTTAATAGCGCTTAAGAATTTATACCCCATATTACTGCTTTTTACCACTGAACGACCACGAAATAAATTCTTTCCAAACTCCTGAAACGCTCATTCTTTCACGAATTTCTGCTTAAAAGAAATTTCTGAAACTTAAAAAATAGACTGGCAGAAATTTATGAGTTGCATACTTAAATGAAATAATTAAGACGCATTGTACTAAAATTTTTGATCAACAGAAAAATATCTATTCATGCAAGATCAGAGTTTCAAAAATTATTATTACAAAAATGTAATGCTGGGGTATCAGGTAAGTTCAAACGCGTATATTAGTAGTTCAGCACTAGCAATAAATATTATCAGGGAATCTACTTAACCTAATCATGACATATTTGAAGAGAAAAATGTGCAGGCATTTTTTAATCCAAATTAAAAGCTCTGCACAGTATATGTGTAGATTATATATAAGTAATATTAAATTCATGTTGCACAACGTAAATCCTAAAGGTCAGTCATGATTTCCCATGATTCGTATTGTGTTACATAAAGTTCGATGCGCACGTACACACACACACATATATATATATATACACTGGTGTGCAAAAATTAAGGACGAGACGGTTTTTTCAATATAACTTTGTACAAAAGCTTTCCAAATCAACACATTTAATACCGTAAGATCCCCAATACGTAAGGACATGAGTAATGTAAGCAACATTTACTAAAAGAGAAATCAGAGGGATAAAAAGAAGCTTTATTGAAAAAGGAGCATGGAGCGCAATGCTACTGAAGGCCGAAACATCCCTGTGATGGGTGTCCAGCAAGAAACATCCGGTCTTTAATAGGGGATATGATCTCCCCTGACTGCTAGGCAGGTTTCACAGCGTCTGCCCATGCTGAGAATGAGGGTGTCAATGAGTTGTTGAGGCATTGCTGCCCATTGGTCTTGCAGCGCCAATCGAAGCTCCGGAATCGTTACTGGTGGTAAGGTACGAGCTGCCAAGCGTCTGCCTAGAAAATCCCATACATGCTCGATGGGATTGAGATCGTGCCAGCCAATCCATACGTTCAATATCCTCACTCTCTAAGAGCTGTTCGGCAGCTACTGTGCGATGACATGGTGCATTGTCGTCCATGAAAAGGAACTGCGGACCCATAGCGCCTCTAAAAGACGCACATATGGAAGAAGAATCTCGTTACAATAATGGGTCCCGTTGACTGAACCTGCGTCGAAGATCTGAAGGTCTGTACGACTACCAAGCATGATACCTCCCCAAACAAGAACACCGCCACCTCCATACCTGTTCCTTTCAATGATGTTCGGGAATGATTGCGGCTTTCCCCGCTCTCTCCAGATGAGTATGCGATGAGAATCGCTACTCAGACTGAATCTGCTCTCATCTGTAAAAGTACTCGTCCCCATTCATTGTCTCTCCAATTCCGGTGTTCCCGGCACCACAGAGAACGCCTTCTCGATGGGCAGGCGTTAGAGGTACACACCGTACAGGGCGTCGTGCAAACAGACCACACCGTGCAGTTTCTGGCCACGGTAAAACGCGATATCGGTCGTCCAGTCGCCTGTGTCGTCTGTCTAGCGATTTCTCCCGCTGTCTGCCGCCTGTTTTCTGGCCTGTAAGGTAATATACCGGTCTCTGCGGGTGTGGTTTCCTCGTGGACGACCACTACTAAATCCCCGGATAGCTGTTCTGTAGTTTGAAATTGTCTCCAAAGTCGTGAAACGATGCTGTGAGCAATTCCGAACTCTGCAGCCCACACTTGTCACACTGCGGCCTTCCTCCAACTTCCCAAATTTCGACCTGGGTAAAAGCATCCAGATGTCGTCTAACAGATTGATTATTCGCCATTTCTCGCTAAAGGCCAGCAACTCGGTGATTTAACTGCTATACGGCGTGCAATCTCTTTGCCAGAAATACTAATCTTACAACGACAACAACAATGCTTTAACTACTCAGACACTCCCCCATTACGTATCTACCTGCATATGTGCGCATGTGCTACCGTACATCACCTTACTTAATCTTCTGATTGGTCTTTCTGTCCGCTCTGCCTCTTCGTTCAGCTGATATGCTAATTTTTCGACTTCGTCCTTAATTTTTGCACACCAGTGTATATATATATTGTTACGAATTTGGTATTTAAAAAGCTAATGTTAGTTCAATTATAAATTAAATGGTTTTATTTCTCGCGCAGTGCAGCGCGTGACGAATATTAAAAGAAAGCTAAGCAGGAAAATTGAAAATACTAGAGCGCGTGCATTAAATAAATAAATATCTCTTTTGATTTCGAGAAAGTACTGGAAAATTCTTAGCGCGTGATTTTAAAATCTTATAAAAGGAGGAAAACATCTCAGTTTGCAGTAGTTGCTTAGTTTTTGTTGTTGCTTAGAAAACTGCTCTTGTTGATTGTAGCGAATTCGCGGATTAGCGTTCTTTAGCTGTTTTGAATTACGTTCTATTGGACATTTGACTAGTTAAAAGATAACTGCTGTGAGATTATTGTAATACTGCATGATAATTTGAGAAAATTTAAGGCATTTTGTTGTGATAATATAAATTTTTGTTCATTTCTTATCGGACTTTGGCATTCATTTCGTAGCGAACCCGTACGCACGCAACAATTTTTGGTCAGACAGGAGTGGGATTTGAATGCCAATAACAAGAGCGATGGAAGAGCAATTAAGATCTTAGCCTATGCCTCGTTGAAAGAAGATATGAAATCTAATTAGGAAAAGATTGAAGCGGGACAGGAAGAAATGAAAGCAGGACAAGAATCTGTTAAGGAAGAGATGAAGCTATTCAAGCTGGTCAATTAACTTTTAAAGACGAAATAAAGCCGTACAAGTAAAGAGAAGAAAATGCGAAATGAAAGAGAAATTTCCTGCATAATAGAAAAACCAAATTCGAGGTTATGGACGGGAGAATTGATGCAGTTGAAAATAAAGTTGGACAAATTGAAGAAAAAGTTTCTTCGTAAAAGTTCAAAGAGAAAGAGTTTCTTCGGGAAAGAAGAGAAGAAAAGTTTCTTCTGTAAAAGACCATAGAAAGAGTTTCTGCCGTCGAACAACAAATTGAAGATAGGGTTTCAGCCGTTGTGAAAGAACTGGATACTTTAAAGAAATTCGTAGTGACGGGAGGGAGCAATTCGGATGGTTTTAAAATTTTACCCGATGGCTGCCTCGTCCCATCACTGAAGCTATCCACATATGATGGGAAGACCTCCTGGCAAATGTATAAGGACACAATTTTGTATCGTTTCGGATGCGAATGGATGCGATTCCCAAACTAAGGCCTGTCATCTCGCCGCTTCTCTGAGAGCAGAAGGACGCGCGGACGCAGCGGTCCTGCAGACGCTTCCAGAAAACCAAAGACTTGACTTCGAAGCTTTATCCGGGCTTGGAGCTGCGCTATGGCGAGAAATGTTTAAAAAGACTACAGCAGATTTCAATTAAAATCCCGTCAACAGAAGCCCACCGAATCGCTTCAGGAGCTCGCCACGGATGTTGAAAGGCTGTCACATCACGCCTTTTCGGAGTGCCCGACAGAAACAAGGGAAATCCTGTCCCTGCAATATTTCATCGATGGCATCCGGGATCAAGAAATACAGAAGGCTCTACGAATGGCAGATGTAAAGGATGTAAAAAGTGCTCTGTTGTACGCCGTGAAATTGGAGGCAGCCCAGCATGCAACTCTTAGAGATCGCTACCCAGTCAGAGCTGTGCGAGTCCACGACCCAGGGGACCAATTGATGGCTCGTTTAGATGATTTATCCAGACAAGTCGATGCTTTGATACGGAGTAGCAGTGAGAACAAAGTGGCTGTAAGATGTTGGAAATGTGGTTCTGAAGGTCACCTACGACGGCATTGCAGAACACCCCAGGGCACGGATAATAAAACGGCTGAGTTGACAAGACCAGTGAATGCTTTAAGACGGAATAGTGGTGAAACGAAACCCGACCCTAAAGTGCTGGAATTGCGGTGTTGAAGGCCACCTACGAAGGAACTGCAGAACTCCCCAGAGCACGGAAAATAAGGCATACGATTTAAACAGACAATTAAATGCCACGGCAAGGAAAAGGACTGACAAGAAAACCAAAGTGCTGGAACTGTGGAGCTGAAGGCCACGTACGAAAGAATTTGCAGAACACCCAGGGTACGAAAATTGAGACAATTTCTGAGCAACGACGCAGGAAACAAATTAATGACCATATCAAGGAACGGAGGTTGCCAGATAATGAAAAACCCTGTTTTAAAGCGCTTAAGATCTCTATAGTGAGTGGCAAACAATAACGGACTGTCCATCAATGGGAATATCGATGGAGTTCCTTGCAATATGATCATTGAACAGGAGCTAATGTTACCATCATTAGGAAAGATTTAGCTGAACAGTTTAAAGATAAACTTATTTGGACGCCATCCTGTGTTACCCTTCAGACTGCGTCTGGTGACAAGATCGACATAACTGGGAAGTTAAACGTAAACATCACGTTTGGAAGTGCCAGCCTACCATCACACGCCATATGTGGCGGATATACAGATCCATGCATACTC